CTGATTATTGTAGAAAAAGTGAATAGTTGAGACTTTAAAAAGTTGATCAATAGAAGTAGCCCAACCCCTCCGACCCCCGACCCCTGACCCCGAAGCACATGAGCCAGAGTGCACATTGAGTTGACATGAAGCATATGCACTGTTGCAAACAATGAATGAAGGTTAATGTGCTGCAATGCAGATGAGTTTGACAGTGAGGCGACACAGTAATCGAGTACAGACCTAATTTATTGATATATTTTAATATCGATTGAGCTTAACTTACGATGTTATGGCCTTCTTGCTTATTAGGGGGTGAAAGAAAACTTAAAAAATACACACAGGTAGGTCTTTATCTCAGCGTTTGGTTCACTTCTGTGTAAGTAAATGTAAAGTGTCAACAATAACCAAACGTCAAGGAGGAGAAAACACTGAAATTGTCCAAAAAGAAAAAGCTTATAAAGTCTGAATGATCAAAAAAAAAATCATTAAACACACAAACTCCCTGCAGTTACTGATTATATCTATAAAATATGCCACTGAGTCAGTTTAATAAATGATAGAAAAGGGGTCCTCGTAAGGAAAAAAGGCTGGGAAGTAGTGATAATATCACACGTCCCCAAAAGTGACATAAGTGTGTATATGTGTGTGTGTGGAGGCCACGCTTTCCCAGGCGGACACAATGCCCTCCATCTACAGGAGTTTCTTAAAGGGGGGTAGCATGTATATGTAGGGAGGGGGACTCTGTCTGCCAGAATACCCTATATATGTCACACACACACACACACACATTATTCAGCCCTTTGTCTCTTTCTGTGGATGTTCTCGTTGTCCTGCAGCAGTTTTTTCAGGCAGATTTTTCTGAACTCTGTGAAGTAACATCTCCAGCACATCTTGTGTCTCCTCGTTAGCACGTGAATGTTTTTCTTTACACATGCTGGAAGTTTTCTTTGTTTTGTCTTCGGCTGCCAAAACTCTAAACGTCGCACTAAACTGCGACCTGAAGACTTGTTTCCTCTTCACTAGTTAGACTCAGTCAGTGGTTAGAATATGGTCCTTATTATTCAGTGCATAACAGTAACAGTAGAGAACAGATTTCTAGAGTTTTACTGATATTTTTATACAATTCTCTGTATTATTCTCTCTGTATTGTGTATTTTTTTTATTATTTTGAACAATCATACAGATTTAATAACTTTCTTTTTGGACAGATTTAGTGTTTTTTTCTCACTGTTCTATCAGCTGTTTTGTTGTTTTCTAATGCAAGATGACTTATTTAAGTTTTTCTAATTATTATTATCTAAACTTTAAAAATTACAGTTTAATTTAGTTTTCTTTACAGAAATTAACGTGATGCTGAGATATCGATCTACTTATTTTCCTACACTCCTCGCGACTATAATTAAAAGCAAACTATAACATAACACACTAACATTTTAGGTTAAATTTATGAACAAACATGAGGAGACGTTGGTCAGTCAATGTGTTTGTGTTGTAAAACTTATTCTGACAAATAATCCCCATATTATAAACACTAAAACTACAATAAAATATCCAGTGAATTTACATGTCTAATGTAAAATAACCACAAAAATCTGTAAATAATCATAAAATCACTGCTTTTTTAAAGAAAAAATCTTTTTTTTTTCACAAAAATATTAAAATACATTTGCAAATTTCCTGATTAATTGATTAATTGTACATGGATTTGTTTGTTAATTGACAGATATCTTTCTGGAGGTTTTCACAACAGAAACATTGAATAAATGTTGTTTATCAGTGTATAAGCATCGGTAAACTGTCCAAATACAGTTTTTATCAGTGAAAACAGCAATAATTACTGTAATTTCAAAGATGACTTTTATTACACTTCTATAACTTTTAAAATCTAATAACAGCACTCTTCTGTAAATTTAAGACTGATTATTTGTATAATAGCAGTGTTCACCTGTATTTATAGCTCACTGCATTGTTTTTTTACAGTATAATGAAAAATACAAAATATATAATAACTGATTTAAAGCTGTCTGCCTGTGCCTGTAGTCATTACCCAGAATGCGTTTTAGTCCAACGTGTGAACAAGCCGATAACTTTCCTCCTCTCACATTTAATTAATCGCATTATTTTCACTGTAACTCGCAATTTAATAGAAAAACTGAAGTAACCCTAATGCTGCCTTTTTCACGGCAGCCATTTTGAGATACACTAGCAGGGTAAACGCAGACGTTATCACCACCACAGATTTGTCCGTCGCGTTCTCCGGTGAACTGTAACTTTAATTTGGCAATAAACAAACGTTGCTGTGTGTATTTTGTATTCATGGCTATGAAGAAATTAGACTGAACATCGAAAAGATCGCTGCAAGTTTGCAGACTCCTGTTAAAGTGACAGGATGAAGAACTTTACTGTGAGAGGACTGTTAAGTTTTATTCCATATTTTATTGTAAATATAAGTTTTTGCCATGAGATTTTAGAGGTTATGGTGTTTTTAAATCGAAACCAGTCTCTAAATTTCCAGGACGTGTGGAAATACGCAGCAGGTATCCGTGACGGGCTAAAATACTATTAAACATTTCCGGGATAATTTTAATCTTGTTTTTCATCACAATTCATGAGTTTTATTCCTCTTCACGTCTGATTAACGGGCTTTTGAGTTTATAACACACAGGTTAATGTAGGAGAGGAGCTTAAATACAATTAACATTTTCCAGGACAACGAACAACGAAGATCAGAAATCTAAATTTCTCAGACAGACCAAACTCGCTTCTCATTTCACTTCATTTTATTTAAAACATTGCAATATAAAAAGAAAATTACACACTTCTGAATTGTTCTATATACAAAAACATACATTCTTTAACATCTACATACAGTTTACATGGTTGTTCACTGCAGAGCCTCCGTCAGGCTGCGGAGCTCCTCACGCTGTACAGTCACAGGTTTTTGTTCGATCTCTCGACGGCTCCTTCTGCCTTAAAGTAGCCGTACAGTTCATTTTCATTTCAAAAGGCACTAAGAAAGGACAGGCTAGTACAACAGGTGACAGAGCTAAATCATAAATAGCTTTTGCCTTTGGCAGTGATCAAACTGAGCTCATTCATTACTGAATTTTTTTTTAACATATGAACAGACTGTTTTGAATCAATAAATACAAGCACTGAAAAATGAAAACTTTGCACCATTGTAGGCAGTTTTCCTATGAAAGTCAAGTTTTCCAGGAATGTAACAAGAACGTGCAACCAGGTTGCAACTACAATAAAGAAAAAGGGGGATTATTGAGCCACAAACACATCAGGTGCATTCAAAGACACCTCCAGGTTTCAGGACGTTACAGAGTCAATCAGGTGTCTGACTGTTCCTCCGGCTCAAAGATAATGAGTTCATACACTATTTAATGGGATAGACGAGGGTGACAATTAAAACACTTTAATTACCCCAGTTTAGAGTAGAATTAAATATTTAAAGGTTGAAATGAGAAACTCACTTCCATGTTCCTGAGAATCCGACTGAAGCACCAGTAAAACCTCACAGGTACAAAATGTTCAGTTTCCTCTCAAAACAAAAAACTGTTTATTTCTTTAAAATAAAAAATAAAATAAAAAGTTTGCGTCCCCACATCCCATCAGTCGCTACTGCAGGTAAGACGTCTCGTACCTGCTGGCTCAATTCAAACTAATTAACTTGTAATTATTAAAAAAAGTTTGGTTATGTGCCGAAGAACTGCAGCTCCTGAATCTCCAGTCGCAGTTTTAGAAAACCAAATAAAAAAGACTTAGTGTTTAAAAAAAATACTATGTTTTCCCTAAAATGGCGTGCTGCTCTGCGAGGGGTCGGCAATCACTTCAGGTTAAACTGTGGAGAGAGAGGTAGCGGTCCTTGCTGGTCGTGTGCTCGCTCAGGGATTGGCTGGTTTCTCTGTGCTGCTGGGCGGAGTCAGGATCGAACCCGCGGTGACGGGCGACAGCTGACAGTTGGGTTTGTCCATCTGACGCTTCTGAGCTTTTCTCTGCAGAACAATTCAACGTCACAAAAAAGGATTAAAAGACGATTTAAAAACATTTAAAAAACAGAATTAGTCCACTTTTTAAAATCAGCACTGATGGTGCTTTTATTTTGGTAATTTTAAAAAGGGCTGAAACTTTTATCCACCAACAGTGATTTAGTTATTGCAGCTTTAATGCTTGTTTATACAACAAAACCCCCAATTAGGTGATTTTATAGATATTAAACATACAGAACTACTAATAATCTGTACAATGAACCCAAATACACAACAAGTGCACTGAGTGTAAAACGAGTGATTCGGATGAGTTTCCTGTGAATATTCGAGAGCTTTGTTTCTATAATAATGTGTTCTCTCTCACCAGCAGGTCCAGATAACCGACGTGCGTCTGGATGTTGTGTCTGTCGTCAGATTTCACTTTGGGGAAGTTCTTGAGTTGCGGCGCGGCTTCAGACTGCAGCGTGTCCATGAAGGGAGTCATCCACCGAACGCAAGGAGCCACGCTGTCCCACGTTAGACCTGATGGACCAACAGACGGGGGTCAGGATTCAAAACGCAAAGCCAGAGAACATTTTACCTCCGTCGACATACAAGTTAATTTATCCTATTTTTAAACATCTTTTTGATAAATTAAGTCCATAAAAAGCAACTAAAACCTTTATTTCTGTCGCCACAGAGGATTTAAGATTTAACTCAGACGTCCAGGCGGGAAAATCAAACCTACCTGAGACTTTGTGAACGACGTCGAACGTGGAGAAGTGACAGAAGGCGGCCGCAGCGAGAACGCTGTAGCTGTAGTCCAGAGAGCAGGAGTCCATCATACACAGGTCCAACAGCTGCAGCACAACAGGTCAACGGTCAGAACGACAGCAACAGGTTTGATTATCGAGCGCGTGAAGAGACGCGGGTGCGAAGGTTTACCTGCGTGATCTGGATGTACGTTTGCGGCGAGAACTGCGGCACCAGGAAGTTCTCGTCGCCCGTCTGAGCTTCGACCTGCGCGTACAGCTTCAACCAGGAGATCGGCGTCTCCGGACACAGATTCCAGTCCAACGCCTGCAGGACCACAAACAGACACCTTTAATGTCAGCAGGACTTTAAGTTACTATTGAATTACTGAAATTAGATTTTTAACGGCTCCGTACAAGAAATGCAGCTCAAACCGCTTAAATATATATTTTTTGTAAGTGTGTGTTTTAAAGACAGAACGAAAGAATAAAACCACTTCATAGAGATAAGAATGAACGTATAACATGAGACGGAGTAAAACTAATAACTCCAGATACATTTGTTGAAGGTCGTATTGTTGAATTCTGCTAGAAACGTGATGTAATAAAAGTTTAAGATTATATTAACTATTTTATGTCACTTTTTAGAACAAATCCAAAGTAGTATTTACATTTCACTGACACTTTGAACAGTGACTTTAAAAACAGAAGTTCCTTGTTTTCTGACTGTAACAAATTAAAATATCACTAATAAAGTTGTAAAAGTTGCTCCACTGACGAGGTTACATAAACCCACGCTGCTGTAAAGTGATCGGAGGAGTTTATATAAATTTAAATAATAACTAACTTTAACTTTAAATAACTTATATAATTTCCCTCTGGGATTATTAAAGTATTTCTGATCCTGATATTATGTTTTGTATCTGAAGCTGCAGACTGGGATCAATAAAGTGTCTTATGAGCGCAGTAAGCAACCTCTGTACTAGTATAAGTATTGATCCCTTTGATTTTACAACTATACCGGTTAAATAATCTGATGGGAAATCTGTTTTGTGTTCTTTCAGCAGTTTTAAACCACATTAACTTCATTTTAGTGTCAGGGAGTCTGCGGGGTCTTAAAGCATTGGACTGATGAAGAGTTTTATACCTTCAGCATGTGAAGCTCTGTGCTCTGGATGTCCCAGATATCGCAGGCTCCGTCGGTGACGTAGGCGAACTCGAACAGTTTGGGAGGGTAGATTTCCTGAAGAGAGCAGAACACAATAAGCATCCAGACGTGGATTTAATTCAGTCCCCGACGCTCGTGTGATCGGGACTCACCTCTATCTTCGAGGCGATGAAGAGCGCCGTGATCCCCAGGAGCTGCAGGCATTCTTTGCTCACGTTGTCCTCGGTCAGCATGAAGCGGTCGAAGTAGTCCTGAGCGAGGTAGGCCGTCTGCCGGTGGAGGCTGTACACCTCGCTCACCTGCAAAAACACACTCAGTTATAACGGCTGTTTAAAGAACGGAGCCGGTCCTGGTCCAGTTTCAGTCCGCTGGTTCCTCACCTCCAGCAGCCAGTCCAACAGAATCGCCCTCATCTTGGGCTGCAGTTTGGGGTGCCGCTGCAGGTAACTCTTGTCGTGAACGTACTTCAGCTCCTTGTTGAGCATCTTGATCCACACGTCGTCCGAACTGGCCCAGCTGGAGGACAAACGCCAGGTTTTAACTTATTTTATGATAAATGTCATTTCTGTCGGTTTCATTTACATTAAAAAAAAAAGTTTTGTTCTGAGTTTGTGTCACTTTTGAATCAGCTGTTGGCTCCTGTTGGAAGAGAAACCCTGAAACTGGATCAATTCAGGTTTAAAATCAGGGATTCAGCAGTTTAAAGTTAACTTTAAGACCTATTTTACGTCTATTGTGAAATTAAAAAGTACAAAGAATCTGAGAGAACTGGTATCGGTTTCATTTTGTAGTTACACTCTGATCAATACACATTTCTCTCTCATTGATCCAATCCATTTTGAGCCTGTCAGTCATATTTAAAGACTTTTTGAACCCTGCGAGCTAAAAGAACTGAACTTAAGGTGACACACACACACACACAC